AGGAAGGTGGACCTTTATCCCACCGATTTATGTGAACAGCTAAAAGGAGCGCTTAAAACTAATGACTGGTTCTTATCCCACTCAAACGAGTGCACTATTTGTGATGGTCTAGCATGGGTGGGCGCTAAGTTGTATGTCCCCACCAGTTTTCGGGGGACTATATTACAGCAGGCCCATGACTCAAAGCTGCTGGTCACTTTGGGTTTGTCAAGACTTCATATTTAGTTAAACAGCAGTTCTGGTGGCCCTCTTTGAAAAAGAACATAGAAGCCTACGTTGCTAGTTGTCCTGTGTGTGCTTCCGCAAAGAGGCCACCTGGAAAGCTGCCTGGACTTCTCCAGAATATTGCTAGTCCTTGTGCTCCGTGGAAAGAAATATCCATGGACTTTATTGTTGAGCTGCCCGAGAGCTGGGGAAATACGGTCATTTGGGTGATCACGGACTTATTTTCCAAGCAAGTGCATTTTGTACCCTGTTCCAAGATTCCCTCTGTAAAAACGCTAGCTAAACTGTTTATTCAACATGTGTATAGGTTACACGGGGTTCCGGGATGCATTATTTCAGATGTGGGGGGGGGTACAATTCACCTCCCTCTCCTGGAGGGAGTTCCTGAAGGTGTTAGGCTCTGCCCAAGGCCTAAGTTACTCCCATCACCCTCAAACTAACGGGGCTTGTGAATGTGCTAATTTGGTTCTAGAACAGTACCTCAGATGTTACATAAATTATCAGCAATACAATTGGGCTGACTTATTGCCTTTTGCAGAGGTTGCTTATAATAATTCCATCCATAGTAGTACTGGTTTCACCCTGTTCAAAGTGGCTTCTGGTCAGGACTTTGTATCCATTCCAGAGCTGCTGCAGAATCCCCACATCCCTTCACTAGTGGAATGGATTGAGCAGCTCCAGTTTATCTGGCCTGCTACTCGTAAGGCTAGATGAGGCTCATTGAGCCCATAAGAAATATGCTGACAAGAAAAGAGCTATGCCGAAAGACTACCAGGTTGGGCATTGAGTTTTCTTGTCTACTAAGTACTTACAGACTACTCAGAAGTCAAAGAAATTGGGGCCTAAGTATGGGGGTCCTTTCCCTATTGTCAGGATTGTCAACCTGGTCATGGTACAGCTACAGTTACCAAAAACCCTTAGAAGAATTTACCCTGTGTTTCATGTTAGCTTATTGAAACCTGAACATACCTCCTCTCTCCAACCAGATCAACCTAACCCTCCTGTACCCCTGCTCATAGAAGGAGAGCAGCACTTTGAGGTCAAAGAGATCCCAGATTCCAGGAAACATAGGGGGAAAGTACAGTATTTGGTCGCCTGGAAACATTTTCCTCCTTCTCAATCTGAATGGGTGAATGAGCAAGATGTCAAAGCACCAAAACTTTTACAACTGTTTCACACTAAATACCCTGATAAGCCTTAGTCTTCTTATTGTAAAGTCTTTTGTATATTGGGTTGTTATGTTGTTTCTATCTGGTTTCTTTTGTTTTGTGTTTTCCTCCAGAGCTAACACCTTTACTGCAGGAGAGCCAAATGTCAGCCTCTATGCTTTGGCTGCCATAGTAATGGGGGGGGGAGATTGGCATTTGGGAGGGGGATGTGAGCTGGAGAGAGATGCCCTGTGTGAACGAAAAGGGAAGTTTGCTCCCATGTTCTACTGCACAGCTGAATGGACTTGTTTAACCTCAGTCAAGATCAACCGTCCCGGAATACCAGATGGGTGAAAACACCTGAAGATGTGACTGGACAGGATTGGACATTTACCCTCAGTCCTATCGGGGAGGGATTTGGGGATACTTTCAATATGTAACTTTCACGCTTTTTGCTTCAGATCTTGCTTTTCTTTCACTGCTATAATTTCAAACTCAGTAAAAGTACCTTTTCTCTACAAACATAGAGTTAGGGTTTTCCTTTCTTGGGTTTTGAAAGGATGCACACCTGACAAATACTGAAATTTAAGTTGAGAGTGCCACCTGCTGACGAAAGGAAAAATTACAAATCTGGGAATACCCATATGAAGGACTGTGAAAATATCTATTGGATTATTTTTAACTACCCCATGACTACTGGAGACCCAAATATGAAAATAAGGAAGCTATCTAATTAAAGAGACCCCCAAATGTTATGATAGAAGATTAAACTTGTAAAGGGGACACAAAAAGGCTTTTGATAGCCTCTGGGACTATCTAAATGGAACTGATTGTTTATTTATGGTATATAAAGAATTGGGATTAGTGCACTCCTTAAAGGGCAATTTAAGGACTGAATAAATAGTTCTTGGATTGCTGGACAAAAATTGAATTTTTAAAAACAAAATAAGATGCTGTATAAGGAAGAAATGTGTGGAATTTCAAAGGAGAGGGCATTACTTTTTCAAAACACAAAAGACATCATGGAGAAAGGTTTTAAGGAGACTATGGAAAAAATGGTGAATACCATACGTGGGATGATGAGTAAAGACCAAGATGCCCAGGAAAGGGAGGAGTCAACAGAAGAAATGAAGGAAGAAATAGACAAAGAGGAGACAACAATGAAAATAACAGTGACTGATGAATTAAATCAGGGGGAAAATATACTAAGAGAGTTAGAAGATAAGTTTGAAAGGGAGATAGGGGCCTAGGCAGAAATTTTGGAAAGTAGGCAGTGGAAGAGGGTAGAGGTGCGAGAAATACCTAGATTGAATAGCCAAGAAGCAGATGCAGACAGAGTTAAAGATTCAAGAGAGGAATTTGAGAGCAAGTCAAAAAAAGCACAGCAATTAAAGTATTGAAGTGGGCAAGAGAAGATGGTTTTTCTTTTTTGTTGTTGTTCTGATTTGCCTTTTCTCTTCTCTCTCTTTCTTTTCTTTTTTTTAGGTAGGTGACATGACTAGAAGTTAGTATAGGAAGGATAGAAAGGTAGGATAGAAAGAAAACGTCTTTTAATAAAGGGTGATATGAAAGTTAGAATAAATGATAGAAGCAAGAGAAGGGGGAATATTAGTGCATACACTTTTATATAATAAAATAAAAGTAATAAGAGAAAACAAGGAATAATTGAATAATGACAGATAGCAATATAAATTTGCATTATTATTAGAAATATATAAGTTTATTGAATGTAATAACCATGATTAATTCTGTTAGTTTTATTTGTATTAGAATGTATGACACCTAGCTGTTCACGCATTGATATGTTTGTAAAAAAAGAAGGGAGTTGGACCAGAAGTGGTTCAAAATCCCTTCCAACTGTGTTGGAGAACTGTGTTGCTTTATGGGTTAGAAGGAGTCTGGTAGTATATTTTCGGAATAACAAAAGGCATAAGCTTTTGTTAGTCAGAAAAGATTCTACTGGTCTCCTTCTAATATAGTAGATATCATTTTTACATCAACTTTTTATTATTATTTATTAATTAAATTTATATGTCACCCATCTCATGGTCAGGTGACTTTGGGCAACTTATAACATCACAGAATTTAAAAATTGAAATATTAAAACATTGAAACATTAAATATGAAAATTTATACAGATTAAATACCTGATAAACCAGAATACAATGGGGTGGGAATGGGATCTTCTTCCTGGTCCACTAACCACCTCCAGCATGGAATGCCTCCAGGGCATTTGGCAGAGCCAGGTTTTGAGGCTGTTTTTGAAGGCCACAAGGATGGTAGCCACAGCAGAAAAATTCTTTCTTCTGGGCCTTGCCCACCAGAATTCTTTGATTTACAGTGTTTGCAGCATGCCCCTTCTACCAGAACAAGTAGGGTAAGCCAATACCATTGGGCTGAGACAGTTTCCCAGGTGGCCTGGATCCATGTCATAAAAAGACTTTAAAGGTGATAACCTGCTTGAACTGGATTCAGAAGCAAACTCGCAATTCCCCCATCCAGACCCCCAAAGTCTCCAGCCATCACAAGAAAGCAATAACAACAACATTTAGGTCACCTGGGATAGAAATACAGTATAAAGCATACTGATGATGCCTCATCCCATGCTGGCAGAATATGTTACCCAGCAGCTTCATCTAGATATTAAAAAGAAGTGGGGAGAATATTGAACCCTGTGGCACGCCACAAATGGCTATGAACTGGAACTTTTGATCCCTATTAATCCCAATCAGAACCAGTCTTGGAGAAGAGCTGAACCAGCACAAAACTGCCACCCATCAGCAGATCTTGCAGCTGGCCCAAAAGGATACCATGGTTGATGATATCTGTCAGTGTATAAGAAATTATGAGCTGGGATAGCCATAACAACAACTCAGCCAATGGGAACTGTTTGGTGACTAAGAAACAGGATCTGTGTGAGCCAGGGAAGAAGGCTTTGAGCCTGGGTGGATTCTGAGTTCTGGTTCTGGCTTCTGCTGCATGGGTATACATGCATCATGCCTTATATTACTGTATATAAAGAAGTTTCTTTTATACATGAATCCTGCTGAATTATTTACTTGTGTGCTGGTTGGATTGCTGTAAACTCTAACAATACCAAAGGCTGATGATAAAGAGAGCAAGGATGGATGCACTATCCCCACCCTGCTATACCAGAATCATCCTCAATGCTGTCTCTGTCCCATAATCAGGCCTGAAACCAGACTGGAAAGAGTCCAGATAATCCATTTCATCCAGCTGCCAAGAGAAGATGATTATGAAAGTTGTCCAAGCAGGTAGGATCAAATGATATTTTTTTGAGGAGGGGGCAGATCAAAGCCTCTAAAAGATCCTGGGAACATCCCATCCTGTAGTGATGTATTTATCATTGCCTGAGCCCACCTGAAGGAGTGGGCTCAGGCAATGTTGTGGAGACTTTCACTCATTGTTCCTATTTCACTGTTACCAATGGAATATTTTTTAAATTTTTTCTCAGGTCTCCATTTTTGCCAGAAAAGGAAGAGATTTGTTTGTTTGTTTGAAATGTATTAAAGAAATAAGAATTAGTCAAAAGAAGGAAAGTTCTATCACATCAGCTGTGCACTGAAACAAAAACAGAACTGAACTGCAACAGAAGTTGTACATCACCTGAATCCTTGTTGCTCCTCATCCCATAGACAAAGATGTCCTTCACAAAAGCCTTGAGTTCCAAGTCTTCACACACTGCTTCTTCACTTCCATAATATATATTAATAATATCTGTCACAAAACTTCAGAAAATATAAAAAAAATTAATGAAAATGTATATTGTCACTTTAATTTTCAACCCTCCCCAATTAATAACTTTCATCTATGTGTGAAAATATGTATATCATATTTTTTGGAATATAAGATGCACCTTAATTTTTGGGGAGGAAAACAAGAAAAAAAGGATTTTGCTTCTGCCTACCAGCATCAGGATCAGCAGCGTCCTCACTTCCACTTGGATTTTGATAATAAGTAGCACAGATCTTTTTATATATATAATTTTTTTATTATAACACAAAATAAAACAATACAAGACATACAACATTTATATACAGAAACTCTTTTTACACCTCTTTCATAGTGGTCCTTCCTTATTATTTACTATTTGTACAAATATTACTTTATCTTATTCCATATTACTATCTGTCTCCATCATTTCATTTGAGTCACTATGTTGTATTTTACCAATTTTCCCCATTATTTTTATCATTTCTTTCTCTCCCCTTTATTCTTCTTCATCATTTTTCCTTTCCTCCAACCACTCATACCATCTGTACCAAATTTTATAGTATTCTATATCCTCTTTTTCCTTGAGTTCTTTTCTCTGTTTGTCCATCTCTGCACATTCTAAAAAATTTTTAATCAACTTCTCCTCTGTTGATGTGTTTTCTTTTTTCCAATTTTGGGCATAGACTATACGGGCAGCTGTTAAAATGTGTAGTATTATATATTTTATTTCCTTTGTATAGTTTTCCTTGAAGATCCCTAGCAAGAATGTCTCTGGTTCTCCTTTATTGATTGTTGCGTTATTTTCTCTAGCCACTTTTTGACTTTGGCCCAGAATTTCTTTGCCATTGGGCAAGTCCACCAGAGATGGTAATATTTTCCATAATTGCTTTTACATTTCCAGCATACTGGACTTCCGGCGGTGATGTCATTGTGCCAGGAACAAGAGAACGGTGCTCCGTTCTCAAAGTTCCAATATTTTCGATTAGGAAGCCGATCCAGGTGCTATTGACCTCGGAGGGGTCAATAGAAAAAAGAGGAAAACCCGAGGACCTCGGTGAGGACAGCAATCCCTCTGAAGGTTCAGGGGAAACCTCTTAATTCCGATTGGAAAAAAGCCAGCCATTTTGGCTGGCCTGAAATATTGACAGCTGATTAGTGGGAAGCGAAGATCAAATTAAAGAAGACATTGGTAGGAAACAGAAGGAAGAAGAACAAGAATAGAAGAAGGTACTGCTATAAAGTGTGAACAGAAACGGGTGAAAGTGAGACTCCAAGCACGCGGCAATAAGTGGCGATGGAAAAGTGAGTGGAGTGGAAAACGTAAATTGACAGTGACAGCGCAGAAAGTGACAGGTGGTGGAACCGGAGCGACTCCAAGAGAAATACCATTAAGGAGTTGTGGATTACAAAATAAAATATAAAACAAATTGATTTTGGAGAGGAAAGTGTTTGGAATTAGAACTCTAAGCGAGATGAGAGAGACCAGAGAAGATCAGAGGAAACAACATGAGGCAAGAGGTGATTTTGACAGCGGAAAGTCAAATGAATGGCGGATATTGGAAACTATAACACAAGCAAGTAGAAGGTGAATCCGGTCGAAATCTGAGTATTAAAATAAATAATTTTGTGGAAAAGGACGATATCCAGAGGAGAGAGGAAGAGGAGACAGACAGACCTTTTTATAAGTGGAGATTGTGACGAGGTGAGCGACTGGCAGCAGATACCGGAGGAGTGGAGAGAATAGCTGACTGTTATACAGAACCTTCCTGTCTGGAAATTAACGAGTGGTGGAGCTAAATTAACTTTATTAAGGTCTTTTTACTGAACACTTGGATCATATTTGGACACTTGGAATTGGACATTTTGAGTGTTGGACATTTGGATACTTAACTTAAAGGACATTGGACACAATTAACAGAGAGAAGAAAGTGGAATGATGTGTTAAGGATATTGTTGTTGTGTTACCAAGCAGCAGAGTGTAGAGCACAGAGAAACGTTGCTGAGAGCAATGAATAAGAGATGTGCAAACTGGTTTATCAAAAGTTTACTTTATAGTGAAAAACAATCTCATAGTCTTTAAATCAATCCAAGTCTTTGCCAGTTAAATCAGTCCAGTGATACAAAAATCTTCTTACCACACAAACAGTAGTTGGTTAGAATAACAAACTCACTCTGGTTCACACACCACGATGGTAGCAGATCCATCCAACAATGATAGCACAATGGTAGCAACTTCACACACTATGGTAACATAACTGAATACTTTACAGTACCCTTCTTAAATACGTTTACAACTAGTGATTATCTAATTACAGCATGACTCAGCATTACAATGAATCAGCAGGAAAACTTTAAAGTCACACAATACATATTCATATTAAACATATATTGCCTGGACAACTTGTTAGGCTCAAACCATATCCTAACATGATGCAAGACTGAAAGAAGAAGATACTATAAAAGGAGGAAGGATAACATTTAATGAAGTAAAATCCAGCTATTTAAACTTGATTATTAAATATTTAATTAATTATTAATTACTAAATATTAAGTAAAAAGTGACATATATATTGTTAGTCCAGCTTTTGGGTTTATACAGTGATTTATCTTACTATTTGGCCTTTTATTATCTTGCACACTTAGACTTATATTATAGTTAAATTAGATTGATTATATATACCGAAGAAAATACATTGTGTTCAGTAATTAAGGGTAATTGACATTAGCTAATAGTAACTTAATAGTAGAGTAATTAATTATAAAAGGAAAAATTGTTGTTATTAATGAATTGCTGAAAATTTATTCTTGAATTAATGAATTGCTGAAATCTTAAACTTTTCCCTCCTCTCCCCCCCCACTACTTTTTCCTTCCCTTATTTAAGAATATTGCAAAAACATAAAGTAGGATATTTAAAACTGTGAATAAGTATACGGAAATATATATAGAGATTTTGATTGTGTGATAGAGAAATAGCAATATAGTAAATAGTAAATATTACCATACTTGGGCAGTATTTTAGGATTGTTAGACACTATAATTTGAACATTAATATAGATAGAAATACAAAGATCTAAATAACAAATCAGTATATGAAATTTTGGGGACAGATAATACAAAAAGTACAAATGGCAACTACAGGTTCATCATTGGCCGCCACAGAAAGGGCTCGCAACTTGGGCGTCCTCCTGGATTCACGGCTGTCTTTAGAAGAGCACTTGACAGCCGTGACCGGGAGGATTTTTCATCAGGTTCACCTGATCCGCCAGTTGCGTCCCTTTCTAGATCGGGACTCCCTACGCACAGTCACTCATGCCCTCGTCACCTCTCGTCTGGACTATTGTAATGCTCTCTACATGGGGCTCCTCTTGAGGTGCACTCAGAGGCTCCAACTGGCACAGAGTGCGGCCGCGCGGGTGGTTATGGGAGTGACGTGGAATTCCCATGTAACACCTCTCCTGCGCGAGCTGCACTGGCTCCCGGTGGTCTTCTGGGTGCGCTTCAAGGTTTTGGTTATCACTTTTAAAGTGCTCCATGGCATAGGACCTAGTTATCTACGGGACCGCCTGCTACCGCCAATAGCCTCCCACCGGCCAGTACGCTCCCATAGAGAGGGGCTCCTCTGGGTGCCATTGGCCAAACAATGTCGACTGGCGGCCCCTAGGGGGACAGCCTTCTCTGTGGGGGCACTACGATCTGGAACGAGCTCCCCCCGGAGATACGGAGGATCCAGGATCTGCGCACCTTCTGTTGCGCGCTCAAGACTTTCTTATTTCACCAAGCTGGCCTGGCCTAAATCTTCTCCCCTTTTAAATGTAAATTTTAATTTGTTTTTAAATTATTGGGTATTTTAAATTTGTTTCAGCCAAATTATTTAATTTGTTTTTATTCTATTTTAAATTTTTGTATTTATGTGTTTTATCTTATGACTGTTCACCGCCCTGAGTCCTTCGGGAGTAGGGCGGTATAGAAATCCAATAAAATAAATAAATAAATAAATAAATAATGATCACTAAGACAAGCAAGAAGATACCCTCAAACCAGATGACACTCTCAGCTTCTCCAGCACAGCAAAGGCCAGTTGACACTATGTCGGGGCGGAAAAAGAAAAGGTAACCTCCATCCTCAACATGCAAAACATTCAGTCGGTATTAGCAATGATTCAGGGGGGAATGAACAAAACGCAAGAGTCCATAGCTAATAACCATGAAGAAACAAGGAAAAATCATGAAGAACTCAAGACAGATGTGGGAGAAATAAAAGATAACATTAAGAAAATTGATGAGAAGATTGGAAAAATACAATAGAACATTGCGGAAAACGAGCAAAGGATCCAAAAAGTGGAGGAGAAGATAGAACAAACGGACAAGAGAATGAAAAAGATGGAGCAAAATCAAGTGTCAATCAACAAGGATCTGGAAGATTCATTAAAATACTTAGAAATGGAAAAGGCATCTTTTTTCCTCAGATTCCAGAATGTAGAGGAACAAAAAGACGAAGATCTAGGAGAACTGATGACAGAGATACTAGCAGAAGCAACCCAGAGGGATAAGGAAGACGTTCGAAGAGACATAGATGAAATCTATAGAGTCCACACCAATTATTCCCAAAGACACAAGTTGCCTAAGGAAATACATATTAGATTCACAAAAAAATCCATTAAAGAAGATATCTACAGGAAGATGAGAGAAGGGACAATTGTATATAAAGGAAGGGAAATTATGACTCTCAAACAAATCCCAAGAAGAATAAGAGACCAAAGGAAAAATTATAATTTCTTAATGACACAATTGAATAAATACAAAATATTGTTCCGATGGCTAATACTGAAAGTGTTACTGATTTCTTGGCAGGAAAAAAAATACAAGATTGACAGTCTAGAAAAAGCACAAGACTTTTTTGATCAGCATTTTGTGTTGGAAGAGGAACAGGAAAGCAGAGAAGAATTAGAGACTAGGAGTCAAGAGGTACACCAGACAGAAAAAGAAGAAAAAGATCAAGAAGAAAAAAGAAGAT